TGTAGTCCACGATGAGCTCCTTGGTCTTCTCTGTGTTAAGCAGCAGGTTGCTGCTTTAATTTAATTTAATGCTTTTCATACATATTTTAGGGTTAGGGTTAGAGAAACCATGACCAGACCATGAGAAACAAATTTGCTGGTCAATATATCTAGAGGATAAAAGGCACTGACTGTGCATCAGCTGGCTATCACAGTGAAGCATAGTGGTCGTGGTGTCATGCCCTACTGCATGATACTATTACCACTATGTGTATCAGCAGCAGGAACTGGAAGATGAGTTTTTTTATTTTTATTTTTTTTTGTAACACAGACCAAGTGTCATGATCCGAAGGTATGACTGGAAAATTCCATCAGGAACCTGATATCTGTTGGTGTTCCCCCAGTGTCCTTCGCCTCACCACCTTTCCAGCTTTGTTCTTTTCTCTTCTCAGACGTACCCGCTTTGTTCCAGTCGCACCTGTGAATTCCTAGTTTTCCCTTACTGACCCACGCCCTGCTCTAGTAACACTTTTCTACGAATTAATCTCTGTTTCCAAACCAAAATTTTAAAGCTGCCAAGATTTCTTTTTAAAAAATCCGCTGCAATTTGGTGGGTAAATATTCTGTTCATGTTGCTGCATTCTTTCATATGGATCAGCAGACACTGTCACTACACAAATACTAATAAATTGACCAGTGAATGTCAATATTTGTGGAGACGTTGTCCTTAGGCAGGTTGGCAAAGGGCACCTCTTTGCTCCTCTTTGCTTTAAGCAACAGTTTGCCTCAGTGGGAGGAAAAAGCAGGTTATACAACTGATTACCTAAATGGGTATACATTTTCTAAAATAAAGAGTTATAGTTATTATATCATGCTGTAATACTATTGAAGGACGTTACCTCCTGGCCTGAGGAAAGACGAGAATAACACAAATATGACTCAGCTGTTTCCAACTTCCTAAAAGGATGAATGTTACAGCCAAACCTAGAGTCCAAAACAGAATTTTGAGTTAACATTGGGGTCATGAGACAAAAAAATGAAGAAGCAAAGAAATAGGCCACTTAGCTTGTTAAATTAAAGAGAAAAAGGCTTCCCACTCTTTACATACCAGTATCATTTAATAAAGGTATTTACATTTTATAAAAGTTGCTAATCTGCCTGTTCTAGGCAAAAATACAAATGTTAGCATATGTTAGCACTTCACTTTGCATCATAGTACAGTCTGTTTGACAGTCTGGAAGCTGTGATCTAAAGGTTACATAATGGAACAAACAAAACAGGATGAATGGCTCCATAATAATGATACTAATAACACCCCTCCAACAGCCCTCCCTTGCCTCTGGTCCTCTTGGATGGCTGCCCCATCTGGTGCCTCCCTCCTTCTTCGCAGGATGTCGAAGAAATGTGTGGTCTCAGGTTTTCAGTAGTTTTGGGGGCTGTGGATGGCCTAGATTTTTTTTCTACCTGTCCCTGATTAGATATTATAATGCCATACCATATACAATTTTATAATGGAAACAACAAATACAAATGAATAAATAAAGAGATAAAAGAAACACAAGTGGAGCCTATAGAGAATGTATAGAGCTGATCTTCAAAAAGTAAAATGTGTTTGGCCCCACAAGCATTCAGATCAGAGTTCTGATTGCAAAAACTGCCAGATAGGGCATAAATTAAAAAAAGGGAAAATCACATTAGTGAAACAGGGCTTAGCATGTGGTAGACCAAACTGTATTTATTCCAAGAAAAAACGAAACTGGAATAACAAGATGACAAGAGACATGTTGCAACTCGTCGTCTCTCAGAATAAAATAAGAGAGCAGTTCCACTTGAAGCTGAGCTGCTCATTGCACCACTAAGTAGCACAGCTGTAACATAGCTGTACTTGCTCGAGTTACAAGATACATGCACAGTAAATAAATAGGCTTATATTTAAGAAAAATGAGAAAGAATGTATTATTTACAAAGATTGTATTAAAAAGTATTATTTTTCAATAGAAATACATTAATTTGATATTAAAGGAGAGAAACAGAGGTGCATGCAGTTAAAAAGGAAGACTGTCACAACAATTAACAATAGGTCAACACAAAGAGAACCAGAATAAATAAAACTGTTTACTTATTATTTATCTGCAGATTATATATTGTACAGATGTGCTGCCTCATTTGCAAATAAAGTTTTCTTGATTTTGACTGTATATAAATATAGCCTATTTAGACCTTAAAACTATGTTGTTTAGCTCTTATTAATCAGATCGACTCTTAAATTCATTATAAAAACTCTTTCCAATAGAAGACCTTTATGAATGGTGCCTCACAGAAAAGTGCTGCTTCTGATTTAGCATTGTAGCTATCACAGATTATTAGACTCAGTGCAAATTTAACAGCTGATGAAAGTGACAGTCATCAACTGCAGGTTAGAGGTAAGAAGGTAAGAAGCCCTTCTTTGGTTGCCTAGGTAAGGTTAAAACATTTTGGGTCTTTTGAGGTTTCTACAGTGATTTTAATTTTACTTCCTATATTATGGCCATGGACATGGTCCAATCCTGAGGCTCATCGCTCCGGATTGGCCATTTTAAAGCAAAATTAGCTACACTAGGATTGTCAGTCTGTGACTTTGGGTGAGACCTACCAAAAGTAGCTGTTTTTCTGAAATGGTGCGTCTACAACCAGAAAAGTAGTTACAAAGTTACAATAATGCACTGGAATGGGAAATGGAGCATATTCTGCTTGTTTCCAAGACAATATGTTTTATTCTTGGACTCCTAAGCAGCTTCGGATGGTTCACAGTTCAAAATAATACTTATTTATCTTTGTTTTTAAGCCTCAGTTTGACATTTCAGTTCATCTTCTGTCTTTTCTTGGCTCCTCTCCCTATAAGCCAACTTTTGTCTGACTGACTGGTTTGAATGGTAATGGGACCTTTTGTGCTCATGGTCAGAACTGCATGTCTCAGATGAAAATATTGACGATATCCACTCTCTATAATGCAATAAAAGTGATTACATGACCTCATCACATGAAACTTCAGATACTACAGGTCATCTAACACAGTAAGAAATGTAATAACCAATTTGCACAGATGAACTGAGTTGAGTTATTGCCATTTAGAAATACATACAGATAGACTAAAGCCATGGTGAAGACTGTTTAAGCACAGGTGCTTTGTTCAGGGATACTGACAATGACAGTCACTGTATTCACATAAACTCTTTCTCACAGCCTGTTTTCCTGTCATTGAAATGTGTAGCTTCTTCAGCTGCTCCCCTGCTTCCTCCAGATATTTCAGAAGCTCCACTTCCTGATCTTACTTGATCTGAAGTTCTTGCCCCTCTGGGTTTGTGTGGTTTTCTATCAAAGCTGTTCCTTGTGGTGTTTACACATCTGGATTCTTGAGCATCACCTCTTTTTCAGCATGTTCAAGAATCCTAGTAAAAATACAGTGTTAACTTGTCATTTTGTGGTCTTTGTGGTCACATAGAACGATGTATACAATTCACAGACACGAGGATTCACTTGTGTTTGAATATTGGCTTAGTTGATCCCACTTTTTAAAGTATTTGCCCCCTATTTGGAATTGGTTTTATTTTGATTCTTCATAAATGAAAAAAGAAGTTTAGGGTCATGGCACATTGTTGACATGCTTGCCATGTTTTCTCAGATCTCAGTAGAGAAAATTTCATGTTCTTGTAATGACAAAAACACTATTTTAAAATGGAAAAAAGAGAGACATGTTTACCTTACTCGCCATCTGTGAATGGTCAGTAGAACACTCAGAAACACAGCGAGTAAGCCTGGAACCAAGACCAATTTCAAAGACCAGGATGGGACTGGAAGATATCATGTAACATTATTAAAAACCACAGTAGTTTCACATATAGCATATGAAGCATTTCATCATGAAATCTACCTGGAACATGTATGTGTGTCTCTCTGCTCTGGTTGGTGTTCCTCTGTTGGACTCTGCAGGTGATGTTGTTGCTGTGTCTCTTCTCCACAGTCACTCTGCTGCTGACAGTATAGAGGTCATCAGGACCTCTGAGGGTCTCTGTAGGTCCAGCAGAGAGGAGGTTTCCCTCACCGTCCAACCACAGCAGCTCAGGCTCTGGATACCAGCCTGCAGACTCACACTGTAACACCACTTTACTGCTGTTTTTACTTATTACAGTGACTTTAGGAAAGGAGACAGCACCTAAAAAAAGAAAAGAAAACCAAGACCAGTAGGAATACTTTGAATTCACAGCGCCAACATTGTGGTTATTGGTTGATTATGTTTGTAAAAGGTATCAGTGTGACCTGGAGCTTAGTATAGACTAGAAATTTAGAAAAGTGAACTGGAAAAGCAGAAGAAAATGAATCGGTGGAACAACTTTGCTAAAATAACCAAAGAGACACATATACACTTAAGTTAATTATACAAGTTAGTTATTATGAAAGCAAATTACTATCATAGTGTTGCATTTTGAAGAAAATATTATTGCATTTTGACACGGTACACCCTGGATAGTTTGCTAATCTGTGGAAAGGTTAACACATAAAGTCAAAAAGCATTCACGCCTACAGACAATTTTGAATTGCCAGTTAACCTGACCCCACTAACTGCATGTCTTTGGACTGTGGGAGGAGGTGGGGGTACTGGGAGAGAACCCACACAGTTGTGGGAAAAACATGTAAACGCCACACTGAAAACACCAGTCAAACCCATCAGAGCTAATACCCAAAACACTACTGTGAGGTATCACTGCAACAGCATGCTGAACATAAATGTATTCATTTGTTGACTTATTAAGGGGGCAATAAATAAATTAACCTCTTAAGCCGCACAGAAAGCACAGAAAAAAAA